GCATCAGCATAACTGGGAGCTGAATATTGACCGTTTAGCGGAGGGCACCACCTTTACTCCCTCTGCAATATGTCTGACAATGTGTGTTGTATTCTTTTTAACATTTGCCCTTCACTGTGGCGTACGATAGGTTAGCATGCGTCACTTCAGTGGGATGTCGGTCCAAAAACATGTCACAGTGGGCAAGGTAGTATTTGCAGAGTGCCAGATTGATGCTCATTTTCAAGTGAGCAAACTGAAGAAAACAACCTACCAAGAAAAAGAGTGATGATTTCAATACTGACTCTTTTTTTTTTTCTCACATATGCATATTTCTGTTATATACGTACCTCTTCCACATAGAAATAACTCCACCGTATTTTCATATATCAAAGCCAGCTCGCTTAGGGCAGCGAGCTGGAAATGCCGTTGGTCCAGATTTTCTTGACAGTGCCGTGAACACAGAAAGGCTTTCCAGATCATTTTCTCCATATATGGCATGCATTCATCTCTGGGGTGCTTGAATAAAGAGCAGAAACATAGTGGTAACATCATCACCATATGACAGCACAGTTCACCAGCAGAGAGGAGCTGTACAAACTGCTGGCAGACATCCAACCACTTTTCAGTGAGTTTGTACTGCTCCCTACTGGCTATTTTGGGTTAATGCAGGCAAAAAAAGACGCCTTCAGAGAATAAAAAGGTGTTGAAATCGGGAAAAAAAAATTTTTATAAATTAATGCAAACTTACTGCAATTAATTGGCATGAAGTAAACAACAATAAAGGAGTTGTTTTATTGAATACCAAATGTTCCACAATACATATTTTCTTAATACATGTTCTTATTAAATAGGAAATAAAATAAATAAATGATTACATGTCTTTAATATTTTTGAAGTGTCCCAGGTAATTAAATACATACATAATTTTAGAATGTGAAACTAAATAATAAAAATTCCAGTATTTAATTATTTCATGCATGGTGTGCATCAAAGGATTACTTAAAATGTCACAGCATTTGATTGGTTGCACCATGTAGCAAGTCAATTTCAGACAAATTATATTAATGAGAACTCATCATTCATTGATGTCCCTGTTAGAGTGATGCACAAAATAAATGCAGGAAGAGTGAGAAGATATACATATAATAAATATGAGAATAATAGAGTTGCCTTTTTAAGAATACATGTTTATTGACAACATATTTATTCATTATATACTTGATAACAATGTTATCTGAGTGATTTAGAAACAGAATTTTATAATCAAATACTTAATACATAAAGTAATTGAATTGTGTTTTGGGACTTCCAGTATTTTATGCCTCATCAAAACTGGACATTATCACAATATTTACACATGTCTATCTCTTTTTTTCTTAACCTCAGGGCCAGGCAGACCTACTGAAGCATGCAAAAAGTGAGGCACTGGACACTTTGCGCCAGATCCACTGTGCAGCTCAGTCCTGTGGTCTCAGTAAAAATGGAGCAGCTTCCCCGCAGCTTCCTCACCATCCTCCTCAACAGCCACCACAAGTACAGCAACAGCCTCAAACCAAGCTCCACCCACAGTCTCTGCTGCTGCACCCACCTCACGTTCCTCCACAACCTCAGACGTCACCCCAGTCATACCTCCACACCCATCAACAGCAATACTCCCAGCTGCATTCCCAGTCGTTTCCGTTCCCTCCCATTCAAACTGTTTTAACACCGCCGGCCTACCCACATCCTCCACCCTTACCCACAAATCAGTTCCAGTCACAAAGCCAGCAGCAGAGGGCGGCAGGACCTCTCGATATCATCCCAGAGAGAGAAAAAGAAATGGTCACCGATGGTCATGCAGGACCCTGCTGACTAGCAGCCTGCGCCCACAGTGAGTCCCACCCAAAGAGAGACAAAGAGATAGAGAAGCAGAAGGATGTTGAAGGAAAACAGGAGGCTAATAAGGAAGGCGAAGTACAGGATGTTGCAGAGAGACATAAAGAGGTGATGACACTGAAAAGGAGTCACCGTATTCGAAGCGAAACACAAGTCTGAAAATATGGATGAAGACAGGTGTAACAGTCCAGTCATACATTTCTGAACAGGATGCTTGTTCTCTCAATTTTGAGCATTATCCATTTCAGCAAGAAATTAAAAATATCTTTGTCTTCTATCTTGCAAGAAGTAAAAAAAAAAAAAAGAAGGGCGAAGCAGGAAATGATGGGAGGAATATTTCAAGCTCGTGTTTCTAGTTAGGAAAGTACATTGAAGGCAGATTGTTGACAAAGATATCTCTGTCTCTCTCTGGGCATTGCTAGTTACATGCAAATCCACAATGTACACTAGCTCTGTGGGTGCAGGCTTTACCTCACATCAGTGTTTTATGCCACAAATATGCCTTTTTTTCATTTCAGAGGCACTTTACTATGTCTTTGAGCTTTTATTTGGTCACATTCACACTTCTCTCCCAATATTTTAGTTGTAATGGTCAGCTGAAACCCTCGCTCCTTTCCATAATGAGGGTGCAGATTTCATTTTAAATGCACAAATTAGAGCAGCTCTGCTAGGCTGGCCGCTGTAGGAGTCACAAATGACCTTTTTAGCACAAACCAGGGAGCATTAGAGTTAGTATAGAGAAAAAAAAAACTGCATTTGTTCAGTGTTCATTTATTCATGCATTTTTTTTAAGCTGCTGTCAGCCTCCATCAGGTCCTTCTCTTGGGTTGTGCATTCAGGTTTGAGTTCATTCTTGGATACTCACCATAGGATTTTCTTGTCTCCTACCCAGAGGCTCTGCGTATGATGTTATGTAAGTTGATGTTTTGGTCCCCAGGGTGGAGCTAACCCACATCCTTCAGTGGTGGAGCTCAGCATTCAGTCACAACTGAAATATTTGATCCTCCCTTTTAAAAGTGAAAGGTCAAAATCACCATGGTACTGCTGTCTGTGGAATAACACAGTGACTATCGATGTAAACTCTATGTAAAATGTATGAAGGGAACATATATTGCTATAATTCTCAGACATTATTGATTGATATTCTTATTGTTGTAAGTTTTATTGAGATTCAGAGTCTTTTTTTTAACATTACTTCCACATGTACAGTGCTTTGACACCTGTTGTTCTGTGGATCAGATCAAGTCAATCAGTGCATTTGGGACTGAAATTATGGGTTACAGGTTAGTGCCGCAACACAAGGGGTCAATGACGACATGACAGTGAGTGTACAAACTGTAAGAGCTCCTTTGAGTTGCCCATTAAAGCTGGTTTCATTGGTTATTCTGTCTCCTTTTGCTCATTTCTATCTAATGAAACATAGATACACTATAAAAAAGTTTTTATTAATATAACAAAATATGTAAAACATTTTTGACATGCTTTCATACGAAAATATTTATGTTATGGTAAACATTTATATTTTCCCCAGATAAACTGGGTTCAGTAGATGGTTTTCTTAAGTGATATCTTTTTTTCTAAATATGTATAGATGCTGTTTGAACCACACTTTACAAAACTTCTCTAAAGATGGCTGAAGAAGTGCTTTGGTTTGTTTCTTGGTTTGGGTTTTTTGAAATTGTAATTTGTCTATTCAGATTTTTTTTTAAACAAGTATGAAGAACCACACTAATATGCTAAACCTAAATATATATATATACTAACAACAAAAAGCACAAAGCTGGGTATATTCAGCTTTGTGATAAATATATGAACACAGATACATCACTCTTACCAATATTTCAATAAAAATTGAAGAGAACAAGGCAGATGGCTATTTGTGAGGTTAAATATCAAGAAGGATTTCCATCGTGTTGCGCTCAAAGGTCCAGAAATGACATCCAGGTTTTCTAAAATGATTTTGTCTATCCTTAATACCCAAGGCAATTCTGAGAGGGATTCCTTGAATTGCAAGAACAGCTTCTGTATTCCACAATCTTAAGATCAATCTCTTAGCAATTATAAATTTGAAAATAGTTTTAATTAACAAAGACACAATTATTATCAAAACCTGGGATCAGGTTTAAACTCACTGCTGCAAATAAAGAGGCAGTTGATCAATGTATTTTTGCAGATCAGAACAGTAATATCCTGGTCTGTGCCATAGAACCATAAAAGCAAAAGTTACCAAATAAACAAATTTACACAGACCTAGAAAGATATTTATTTCCTTCAACACAGTGATATATTTTGGATAATTACTTAAACATATAATTCCATCAAGTTTATGATGGAATTATATAAAGATGACTATGTTGAACACATACAATCTAATCTAATCAATGACCTACCAAAATGCTTCATTAATTATTTCTGATGTATGATGATGCAACATTAATCGTCTTGATCTAAAATTATGTTATTATTGATTTAAACCTATTATTCTTCCATGAAAGGGTTTGTGTGTTTAAAGCAGTACTTCCTGTTGTCCATAAGATGGCAATGAACATTAGCTAAATGGATGTACAAATGAGTGGCTGCTTTCAAGTTGTTGTCCTGAAGTTTTGACATGAATTAGTTTATCCTTTAAATAGACACTTAGATAGCCCCACCTAAACTTTTGGATGTTTTTAGTTAAGCAAGAGGATGCTCTTAGAAGCAGCAGAAAATACCAACACTTTTGATGTGTCACTACAGACCTTTTATATGAGAAATCACAGCACACAGAGCTGTTGCTCATTAGCATGCCCTTTCAAAGCTTGTTAGTTTCCTTATGTATTTGTGTTGTATTTTTTTTGCTTTACTGGACACAATAGTTTCCGTCTTTGGCTATTCATAGTAATGGCATGTGTTAATAAACCCTCCCTATGCAGCCACAAAGGCATACCTGTACTTCATCAAATCTCTGTGGAAATGATCTCTAATTAGGGTCTAATTAACAGTCATGAGTGTGACAACAAACTTTAAATGAGCAGAAATAAAAGATTTGTGGTTTTGTCTGTTTGTGGCTGGCCTGAATGACGCCCAACGCACTGACGATGTGGATATAGTAGAACAATATAAAAGAGACTTCCTCCTGTGGGAAATAGGAAGATCAGATTATAACCCATAACACAAGAGTGAAGATGACATGGTACAACACCAACTTCCACAATACTGCTGGGATGGACACACCTAACAGGGTAAGACCTTTCAGGGTAAGCCTTTGTACAAAGTTTTGTGATTACATATTGATGTTCTGAAGAATTCAAACTTTAGTTTGAATTTGAATTCATAAGTAGCATTTGATGTTCACAATAGAGCCTTGTTTTAAATGTGTAACACTCCTGACCACTGAATGTGAATAAATTATTTGACATAGTGTGTCAAGTGACATGAAAATGCAGATACTCCTAATTTATGATTTTTTTATTTCTTCATCAAGTCTCTTTAAGAAAAATAAGTTCATTTATTTAAAGTGGCATTTTATTTCTGATTAAATCAGGGGATAAAAGTGAAATCAATCAGATAATGAATATTAAATCATAAACGTGACACAATCTGGCAGAAACAAAAATAAAAGGCAGAATTTAAAAAATAAACATATGCATAGAATAAGAAGATAAATCTTTAATTGGTTTTTAAAAAGATTGGATTCTTTGTTCCAAATTTGTGGGTTCTGTTAAATTATTCACCAGAAGCTTTAATTTTCATTACAAGAACCATCGGAAGAATGATGGAATCTGAATATTCTTACACTGCAGCCATTAATAGCAGTAAAATAAAACTACAGTATCAGTTCTAAAAATTCATATTTAGCAATTTAGTAACTTTAAAATGTTGATGTTTGCAGATTCATTTGGTAAAATTTGCAGCTGAGCTATGCTTTTCTTGGAAGATTCAAAAAACGGAAAGTTCTGCAGTTGGTAAAAACAATATCTCGTGAATTGAAGCAGAGTCTGCTGAACTCTTGGACTGATCTTTAGATGATAAAATATGGTTATTGTTTAATTTTTTATGTTTTTTGACTTGGTGTGAAAAATTCATTGCTGATCTGCACGTTTGAGATTTGAGTTTCTCTCTCTGAAGGTCTGTGCCAAGAAGTAAAACTTAAGTTTATCTACTCTTCCATCCATTACTTTAAAGTTTATATTCACTATAAACTTTATGTTCATCGGCTTGTTATTATGAAACATGACAGCTCAGAGTTGTGTTTTATTGTTATCTATTTTTTTTTTCCATTTTCATTATAGTCTTGTGTTTCATCTTATTATAATTAAATTGCACAATAAAACCCATAGAGTGAGTGTTTAACATACATTTTTAATAGCTAATAAGCTCTGACCCTTGATTCCCAGGGGTCAGAACTTGGCAATCCAAAATTTTCATTTTATGTGAACCCACAAAATGCTGTAATCATCAACTGGCTCATTTAAAATAGTAGACATCCTGCTAGATGAGGAATTTTATCATTGTATCTCAGTCTGCACAAATGCTAAGAATGCAATAAAATTCTGGTGTTTTTTTCAGAATTGTTTTGTTGTATTCAGCATAATTTTGGTTTAATTTGTGTATCATGGATACATTACTGGTCAAGGTAAAATTTTTGAAGTACAGAATAATCTTGTTCAGAATAGATCAATTTTAGCAATCTAGATTGTGAGCTTGACATGATCAAATTTATTGCTACAAAACAGAAAGCAGCTTTGGCCAGCAGGAAGAGAACAGTTACTTTCTCTGTGTAACACTGGAGGAGGTGGAGGTGACCACTCCTGTAGTTAGTTAAATAATAGAAAACCTGACTGAAAAGCTCACAAAAGTGTGAGTCATATGAATCATAATGCCCAAACCAAAGCAGCATTGCAATGGTTCTATTCCATCAGTTGATCAAAATACTCACTGATCAACATTTAATTGTTCAGTCTGTTTCAGTTCTAAACTTGTTAAACAAAACTTATTGCATGTAGAGATGCTCAGTATGAGTTACATGTACTAAAGTGGGGATTATCTGAACAAATGTATTCTAAAGCTACTTTTCTTCCCCTAACAGAAGACTCTGGTATTCATGTTCATACTGCTGCTTGCTCAGCTGGGATGCAGCGTGCAGAGTGTGTCTGAGTGTTGCAGACAGCCAGCGCGGTCCTGTCGCCTCCAAGTCCTGCTGTGTCGTTCTGGCAACATGAGCATAGGGGGAACCAATGCAGGAGACGCAGCCGCTGGAATCCTCACCCTTGGTAAACGGAACGAGGATGAGTTACATTTGCAGAGCAGACTCCATCAGCTTCTTCATGGCCGCAAGAACCAAGCAGCTGGGATACTGACTATGGGGAAGAGGACTGCACAGAGGGATAGGGAGCAATAAACAGATTGACTGAGTCTATCTTAAAAACAAAAAAAGAAAACACACACAGTTTGAACACATTTGCCTGGGTAAATAATGTTCATACAATGTTTATAAAAAATAACATCTATATATATAAAAAAGGATGAAAAACAAATGATTTTCTTTAAACTGTATCTTTTTGAAAATAATGTCATAGAGATTAAGAAATTTGTGGTGATGTAATCCAAAGTTTAAGCCGATGACGTTGTGTTTAATAAAGTACTGATAACAAAAATGTTGTCAAGAATAACTTACTATATAGAGTGCAGTCTGAGTAATTGAGTATTTATCATTCACTAAACTACAATTTTGAGTCTACCAGAAAATCTTAATTTTTTTTCCTTGCATCCTGCAACATGAAGAAGAAGGTTGTTTTTCCCTTGTTTCTCCTGTCATAGAATGAAGATTAAAAAGAGGCACAACACATTAAAGACTATCTTAGAAAACATGGGGCTACAAAAGGACAGAAATCATAAAACCAGAAGTGTAGTGGTCAAAGACATGTTTCACAGTATATTTCACAGAAACTGTAGACTACACTGTAGTTTTATACAGAAGTGTTCTCAAGGATGTACCACTACTACCTGTGTTCATGTACTTATAGGCTTAACTGTGTTTCTATCCTTTTCTCTCCTGTGCATGGGTGTGCCATAGAATTGTAATCAAGACTGCCGAAAACTTCAACTAGCTGAATACTAATTATTTTAGCTGTAAACATTTATTTCTATTACGGAAAGTGACCTGACTACTTTTTTTTACTTTCTTTAATTTTGGATGCCTATCTGGTCAAAAACATGGGAGGAAAGACTCCTTGTGGCGACTCAGAAAAAATCTCATTATTTTCTGTGTTACAGAGCATTCACAGTAACCAGCAGCTCGAAATGGAGGTCTGACCTAGTAGTTTACACTGCACAAGTACAATTATTTAATAATGATCTGAAGAGAAAAGCATTGAGAAGCCTCTTTTTGCATCTCAATGAGGAGCTTGTAACAGGAAGCAATGTAAAGGTGAGAAAGCTGGAAGATAAGGAGAATGAAGCTAATTTCTGTTAATTTCTTTGAGGAAAGATAAGTAGGAGGAGACAGAGTTTTTTTTAGAGGAGGAAAGAGATGTGCATTGAGCTCACGATGTGTGAAATGGAGAAATGGCTGAGGCTCCCATGATGGGAGGGGACTCAGAGATGGCAGGAACTATGCTTTGTGGAGTTGAGACTGACTTAACAGCTGAGGATATGACAACACTGAGCAAAGTGCAGCTGAACCTGAAAAATCCTGATTCAGTTCTGGGAGAAAACCTTTGGAGAACAGCAACTATCCTCATCTAAAAACAGATCAGGTTTATCTGAAAATCTCTGCTTTTGATTTCTGGATCCAACAAAAGAACTATATGCCAAGGAGCAGCACTTCATTTTATTTCAGGTCTTATGGATTAGTGACAAACTACTAGAAGCTGAAAGGCTCCTTATAAAAGCTAAAGATGCCTGTGATGAAGGGCCTCCTTGCTCCACAAAATACCTTTTTGGACAGCATTGCAAACCACTTCGATGGAACTCGTAAGTACTTTAAAAAAGATGTTTTACCATTTTTCTCATCAAGCACTGATCCAGAATAGCAAGTGACTCATTTCTTAGCCCAAATCAAGTTTGTGGGACAAAATACTCAGTTCCGCATAAAGCAAAACTGAGTATTTTTGCTCTATTCTTGTTTTGTTTGCTACAGATTGTGAAGCACGTTAACATACAAAATGTGTATTGTCATTGGTGAGATACTTTCTTTTTAAACCAATAACATAAATGTGAAATTATTTTTTGAGAATTTTTTGGGGATAAATCTATGATTAATAGAAAAAAATTGCACAGTCATTAACTTAATGAAAATGCTGTGGTTGTTTCCACATGCATAAAAATAAATATCCTTTCACACTGCTGGTTTTCCTCATGTTTTGATAAGATTCGGGGATGCATAAAAAACATAAATGGCCAACATAAAAAAAGAACATACAGTACTCTATATGTATGCAATGCTAAAAAGATGTTAATATCAATATGAACCTTTATTTAACCAAGATAAAATATTAAGTTTCCTTTACAATAGATTCATGGTATGTGGCAGCAGCATAATTAGTCTTCACAAATCCAGCTATCTTAGTGAATTGTCCTTTTTACTTTTAGAACATAGAGAATAGAAATACCAAAAAAACAATAACACTCTTTTTATGCTAAGTGTCCATTTCAGAACATAAACACAATTTAATGTAAATGTAGGATATAGTAAAAGATAATTGTGTTCTGCAAAACACAAATTCTGCCTTTACCTAACAAGTTAAAGGCAGGGAAATGGATGAAAAAATGTACATTTCCCATTTTGTAGCTCACATGATTCAAAACAGTGGTTTCTTCACATAGATTCTTTATCATTAGATGGTTTGTTATAGATTGACTGAACAAAGACTGTCAATTTCCATCAAGTAACATAATAATCTTGCATTTGTTACCAACAGAAATTTCAAGCATCAGCTGTCAGATCAATAGATTAAATAGAGCTTCAGCAACAAACACTGCTCAGTCTTTGAATTGTCTTGAACTTGTCTTGACTGAAATGTGAGCAGCAGGTATTGAAAATGCATAACAAACAGGAATGGAGAGACTATCCACATGATCCTGTTATGAAACCAGGGAGATTGATTAAAATGAATTATGTAGTGGTGGGGAGCTTATCAGATATCAACTGACTTGCTGACTTGCTCAGTGAACCTTTCGAAAGCTGGTAACTCACCTAAATTATTAATATGATCACCCACCACCTCAAAATGTAGAAGAGAGCCATCCAATAGAGTCAGAAATTATGCTTAGCTTAACTTTTTCAGCTTCTGTCATTGATATCTGACTCTTCATGGACACTCTTTCCTGACCTGCTTCTGTTTTTCATAACTTTCACACCTTTATCCTTGCTGGACTTCAGGGGCTGGTGCCAGTGGTTAATATGCAAGGTGCATTCCCAGATTGTCATTTTTAAGAATGGGAAGACTCTTTTTTCTTGAACGCAACTCAGCGCAACTCAGATTTTGGTTTTGCATTTTTATTGTCGACATTATTAGTTAATCTGATCAGCGGAAGGGAAAAGGGCAGGTTTAATCAAAGAGATATAGTCTTCTGCATGATACTTGGATATTTTACTTTTAATCATGACCAATGAAAATAGAAGAAGCTTTGAATTTCTGGGCAAAAGAATAAGGTGAAGGGTTTTAAAAGGGCACAGACTTAATTTGAAGATAATTACAAACGACCATATTTTAAAGTTATTTTTCCACAATAAAATCATGCCAAGGATACGTACTGCTAGATGTGTAGATGTTTTTACAAAAGTATGTGGAGATGAAGTCATGAAACTAATAAAAGATCCTTCTGGTTTTGTGTTGCCATGGGGATTCTTGAGAGAGAAAAGAAGAAAAACATATGGCAATGGTGGAGTTTTACAAGAATTTAGTTCTGGGACACAAATCAAATCAGGCAAGCACATTGAATGCAGCAACATCCAATTAGAAATATGTGAAAGATTTTACCTTCCTTAACGTATTATTTCTAACATAAATATAAACAATTGTGCCACTGAATGATGAATGAACTGTTTGCTTTGTTTTTAGCAGGAGAATACAAATCTCTCTCACAGTCAACCCTATCAGGTGTTCCATGCTGTCCTTGGAGCTACGGTGTTATTTAAAAGTTTTCTTCATCGAACAAAGAACATTTCAAAATGCTGTTTGCTTATATTCAAAGCCTCACCTGAAAAGGGATGCCTTACTCATTATTTGTACAGAAACAGAAAGGAGACATGTACCCATTAGGATGCTTTATTGAATCAAGAACAGATTACCACTAATTGTTTTCATAATTCTTTTCTAATATTACTCACCAGCTGGTGGAATAAATCAATATAAAATGCTCTTACAAACATTTCAGTACAAGCTTCTCTAGCACATTAATAGACTGTAGAGAAAAGCAATTTTTGGTATAACAATTAAAAGGCAGTAGGAATTAATATGGATAGTATTATTATTCTGATATTATTTTGAATAATATATTTAATTAAAGAGGGAAATTTTATCTTCTTGAATTCAGACTTTGCTTAATGGCTCCAGAGCAGTTGCTTACAGAATCTTATTGTACAAAGTTATCAGTCAGGAGAAGTACAATAAAATCCCACATCATTCTACATTTACCATTGCACAATAAAGACAGTTATGGATGAATGAAGAAAAAAAATTAAAGAGTTACAAGAAGCCATCCTTTAGTTTTTCTGCATGAGATCTTTAAACAACTACAATATTTTTCTGTCTTCCTGTGATGGCAAGCTGCGCTATTGCTAGCTGTAACATTAAGGAACAGCTTGCAGATATGTAGTCTTACCAGTGATATTTTTTAAAAAAATTGTCTGGTAGTATCTATGCTGCTGCTTTAGAAAAGGGAGTGATGGAATAATTTATCTTTCTGCTGAGCTCTAATGTTGTTTTTCAACCTCTAATCTCAACTATTTGTCTTTTTTACTCATTCACAGACAGCAACTTTCTTCTGGGAAATGCCAGGGGTCGATACGATTATCGGATCGTCTATTGTTCGGATGGTTTTTGTGAGCTGACTGGTTTTGTTCGGACGGAGGTCATGCAGAAAACCTGCACCTGCACCTTCCTTCATGGGGCTGAGACCAGTGACAGAATAATGGAACAGGTGCTTAAAGCTCTGGAGAGTCAGCAGGAGTATCAGGGAGAGATCTGCTTTTACAGAAAAAATGGTAAGAAAAACTGTTTCTTCTGCTAAAATCATTGTTCATCTACTTATATTTAGCCATCAAGTGAACATTTTAGTCTTTGTCTAATATCTGTCTATAACTTTTTGGTTCTCAAAGGAAATCAGTTCTGGTGTCTCCTGGATATTGTTCCAATTAAAAACGAGAAGGGTGAGGTGGTTCTGTTTCTGCTGTCCTTTAAAGATGTCAGCGAATCTTATGGGAAAAGCCATCACTACATTGATGAAGATGGTGAGCCCTTACTGCATGCTTCTGAAAGCTCTGTTCTG